TTGAGAAACCCATACAACCAATCTTTGCCTGCTAACTGAGTTTGTTTATTGAAATTATTTGGAATATTTTTCTGTTGAGCATAATTAAACGCTAACTGCCTCAGTTGTCGGGGCGTTACGCCGTAAAACAATTTTGCGAGTGTCAGAATATAGTGGGTTAATTCAGCTTCCACTTCTGCTGTAAAAATCGCCTTTCTACCGAGATGGGGGATTTTTAGTTGATTTAGAGAAAGCTTTTTTCTGAGTGTTGATTCAGGAATACCAAAAGACCTCCCAACTTCTCGTATTTTCCTCCCATCGTTTCTAATTGCATTCAGTGCAGTCTCCAGCAATTCATCACTATATTGATGGATTTCAGTCTTTCGAACGTAATTTCGTGGCATCTGAAAATAAAAGACGGATTTTAGTACCCAAAAACGATAACAATATTGCTTCATATTTAATTGATTAGTGGGTAACCGTGCGCATTTTCGCGCACGGTTACCCCACTATGGTTTAAAAACGTAATTACATCATCCTACAAAAATTACTTATCTAAATGCAACCAAATGGTGTGCATATATGCAGCAGATGATATTCTTTAAGAATATAATTATTTCAAAACAAGTAGTTAAGATTTACGGACTCACCGTCTTAATTTGTGCAAGTGGAAAATAGTAACAAAAACTCAAATGCACACTTTCGCCTTTCACTAAGTACACAACTCAACTGCAGTGGCAGTTAATGGCTTCAGAGACTCTGTGCATGTTCCCGCTTAAGCCTGTTCGGGAGGGGACTCTCAGTATGCCGCGTAATTTGAATTTTAATGGTGCGCACCGTTCCCCACCGCGCACGGTTCCCCCACTTTCCCCTAAGTAGTTACTTATAGACTGTTATTTAAAAACAGAATCACGTAACGTATTTAAATTTTAAAAAAGTGAAGAATTCTGCTCTTTACATGTTATTTGCATGACCTTTTACGAAATTCTGTTCATATTTGTTAATATGTAGATAATAAAGATATGTTTTTATTTTCTTTTTGTATGATGGATACCAAGTTTAAAATATGTAGTATCTGCTGACAATGCACCTTAATATAACCAAGGAGTTCGATCAGAGTGGACTTTTTTGGTCAAAATTGGAGTAGAGATATATCGCCATGATTTATGCCGAAGTTATAGGGTGGTTTCCTCTGGAAGCAGTCACAGGTCCGCTTGCCATTATGCTAATTTCAGTACTAAAAATATCAGTAGGTTACGTGCAGCGGTGGGTAGTTCCGGAACGAACTAGTTCCTGGAACTAGTTCATTTTATATTATAAATGAAATAGTTCCGAAAATTAAATGGAACTAGTTCCGAGGAACTATTAACGTCACTCCTGATCTTCTATTTGATACCGTCATTTGTGCGCGAACTGCATCTCTAAGTATTTCTTCGTTCGACGAAAACGAAAAAGGAACTAGTTCCGAGCCGGAGCCGATTAGTGGATGAACTAACATAATTACGAGGAACGAGGAACTGTATGATAATCGTGATCGTACATACATACGTATATACATTATACTGTGCTTAGATTAATTTATTATAATTGTGTGTAGTAGCCGTATTATATTTATGTTATAGTTATTGTTATAAACTTTACTGGTCATGATATTTTTAGAGTTTAGTTTAATTGTGATTTAATGATTAAATTTTAAGAAATTCTTACGATTATAGTTTCAAAAGTAAATATTTTTAAAAATCATATGATACACATCAGTATGATCCTGTTTGGATTTCACGTGCTTGTATTGACAATTGGGAATATGTAAAATGAATGAATACACCCAACGATATAATTAAATTTTACGACTTCCTGTCTTCTATGTCGAAAAAAATTGCTATGTAAGTGAAGTATATAAATATATACAATGTGTTTAACATCGCACAGATTTTGTTTATAAATAAATCTTTGAAGAACAAAAAATTCTTAGAGAGAAAATAAATAACAAATCAACAATCATAGAAAAATAATAACATTTTGATTTAAAATTCAGCAAAATATGTTTAGATAAAGTAAAAAACCACTTCGTTATTTTCGTGAAATATTTATTTAAACCAATGCCTTCGAATTTAGTTTCCCATCGTTTACCATATTTTACTTTTATTTTATTTGTGTTGTCGAATATCGAACCTAAATAATCGACCCGATTCATATCAAAGTTAGTCATAGTTCCAAAGAACTAGTTCCAGGAACTAGTTCCTTTTTAGGAACTAGATCTAAGGAACTAGTTCCTAGAAAGGAACTATGAAGCCCACCACTAGGTGAGTCGATTTAGTATGAAAAATGTGTGCTTGTGTTTGCAACTCTGTTAATTTTAATTAGTATGTAGGCATGCGCTCTTCCAAGGTTGTTTTGATAACCTAACAATGAATTTTGTTTTATGATTAGAGTAAACAAAACACACAAGTAAATAATGATGGTGAAAAAGAAAATAAAATTATGTGCAATAGCTTTAATTGTAATAATGATGCTTAAGAAAAAAATCATTTACTTCTTAAAAAAATTGTATGTGGAGAAAAAAATGGATTGAGAGAAGAAGAGGGTTATGCAAAGGAATATTAAATATGTTGAATGAAGTAGAATGTTGATTAGTAGAAGACCCATTGGCGTATAAAAACTTTTTACGAATGAATAATTTGTTTAAAACATTGTTAAAACCAGCTGAGAATAACTTCACTTTTAGTTAATACAGGTTAATATTTCATCATTTTTAGTACAAAAATTAAAACATGCTCTAATTTTTAGTATGTCATTATTCATTATGGCAAGCAGATCTTAGACAAGGAAAAGAGGAGACGCCTAATCGTATGGAATTGGCTGAAGCCAAACCGGCACCAAGAAGGTTGCCAGGTCATATTGTATTTATTCATTAGATTGAGAGTAATGAACATATATCAATAAATCGATTTTTTACAAATTTATTATTGAACACTGACATAATGACTTTTTAAACATGATTTTATCATTACATATTTTTTAGTAGATTGATATAGTATTTTAGTCAATCAGTAGACTTGTTAACCCTGCGAGAGGTAGTAATGGGCAACGTACAGGCACGAAAACATGGCGGTCGCATCGAAACTGGCTTAACTTTTCGAAGGTTTATTAAATGAGTGTTACCTGTCATCTCCCTTTCCTTGTCTAAGGGTTCGGCACACTAGACTGTCCTTTTTTTTAACTCGGATTAGAAATTTCCCACCACTTTTATTGGTAATGAAAACTACAGGTATTTTCAACTCTGCACAAGCCTTGGACGAAAAAGCTTATGTGTTTTGAGGTGCACGATTCTTTCGGATTAAAGAGAACAGAAATAAGTTCTTAGACAAAAAAATTTCTCATGATAGAAAGAACATCTGCAAAATAACAAACCCAAGAGGACAAACAACAAAAAATAGGGAAAAAATTATATTCAAATTATCATATTCATATCTTAAGATACAGTCCATTGTATTTATATCATGAACAAGATGAATGTAATTTTTTTCTCGATTTTAAAAATGTTTGAAAATTTTTTTATACTTTCATTAATCTTTTTAATACAATACTTGATATTTATTTAAATTATTTTTTATTTGAAGTATTTTTATTTATATTATTTCGAAAAGAGTCTAGTAGTGTGACATTTATTTATATTATTTCGAAAATAGTCTAGGTTGGCATTCTGAACAAGGTTTCCAATAGCAAAAGGTGTCCCACCAAACTTACAAACATCATCAATAATGAGAAAAACTCCAAAAATGTGACATTTTACTTAAAAATTCTGATTTTTGTTCTCCGCAAATGTCAATGTAGTCAGCTGCATACAACAGCTTAAATTCTAGTATTTCATTTATTTTGGAATGCAGTCTTCTGAACTTGATCACTCAATGTAGCAAACGGTTGTGGAGATGTAAAAATATAATAGCATCGTTTAAAACCAATTTCAATGCTAAGTTCCTTGGGAACAAACCATCAATTAACAGTGAATCCCTGAATGTCTACAAATGCTATTTTTACGATGACTCCTGATTTGCTACTAACACACCATTAAACTTATTTAATCTTTTTAAATATTTTTGACAACTTCAATATAAAGAGGAAAGTATTCGAGTAGACTGTCGTGAACAATTAAATAGTACTCTCGAGTGCCTGCCGGAAAACCTTCATCTGCTTCGATTTCTAACTTAACATCAACGGTTTCTGATGTAAATGACGTATCATCCTGCTTGGAACAATCAAAAACAAACAAGGCATATTTTTTAAATGCATCATAATCTGAAATGGGATGTTTTGTTGTTGAACGACCATAACCACAGAATAATAAACAATCAGAAGGGCCACTCTCAGATGCCGCCTTTGAAGTTTTTCAGCACGCGCGCCATGTTTTAGGAGGACACAGACATATGATTTGTGTGATTATGTAATTGTTTATATTTATGTTTAATTATATTATATTTATGTTATTATATTTAACAATGTTAATATAATTGTATAGTATGTCTATGATTGCCGTAAGTCAAATAAACCTGGTTAATTTTTCCATGCACACCACATAAACATTACTAATTTCTTTAAAATCCTCCTAAAACATGGCGGAACGTCTGCGCGGAGGAGATGCGCGTACTTAATTTTCCGTGGAGAGTGGGTATTCTGTTTGTTTATTATTCTGTGCCATAACTATGAAAGAACTTGTGCACATAATTGTAGTGGCACTTGGCGCGTGAAAGCAGAAGACGCCATATTTGTTTTTGATAAATCTTTGTGTTTCATGCCGATTCCTCTTTGAAACGAGATGTCGTACGTCTACCTGTGATACGTCGTTTATACCATGATACTATGACTATAAGATAAGATATTGCGCATGTTTTTGTGACGTCATTGGAGACTTGCATGTTCGAAATGTCAGTTTTTGTATATATCAATAAATAATCTTTAATAAATAGTTTTGAGATTTGATAGTCCATATTAAAAGTATTTCGTAAATAAAACTAAATATTTTTTACGAGTATCATTTTATTTTTCAAAATCATTAACAATTAGAAATCGAAAGTAAACTATATATCTTCATTTGTAATTGTAAAATATATACAAATATACAAGGTAGTATAACAAAAAAGAGTACTCTAGAAGTGTTTGTTTCAAAACCTCCTTACAAATTTAGATAAATCCAAAATGGATACTTTAAAATTTGTCAACACAACTCTAGGTATAGAAAATAGTTTTACAATGATTTATATATTTTCCACCCTGTACGTATAATTTTTCAAATGTATATATAATATGCAAGTATATAAATATATATACCTATTATGATCACACAATTTGAGTCAATTTTTTTCTTTTAGAGATCACAGAAGTGGAGCTGGAAAATTCAGCTACTTTATTTGTTTTACATTTATAAAAGTTAAAACTAAGGCAATAGCCACAATTATTGGAATGTGGTTTTATTTTTACACATTTTAAAGCCCCAAGCCAGTTCGTGGACGTTGATTGTTCGTTATGATATATTTGTTTCGGTTAAATATTCTTTTGAGATTGATTCATGGTTCATAAACCGTGTTTGTTCAACGTCTTTTTCACAAAAACTCAGCCTGTGGATATTTTCGTATTTATTTGGTTTGGCAACGTCGATCATCACAAAATAATAATAAAGACTATATTAGGAATCATGAACTAGATACATTAGGACGATGGAAAAAAAAACTTACTCTTAGGAGCAAAAATAGGCTAGAATAACAACTATTAAACTCTCAAAGAATGCTACAAATTTTGAAAACTCCAATAGGTCAAGAATGAAGAATAAACCTATAATATATAATTTTTTGGTTATGTTAGGTTAGAATAGTTGTAACATTAATTATTGTTCAAAAAGTAACGTGTTTGTTATGAAACGAATGCTATAAGTGATCAAAACACTAGATTATGTAACATGAATCAATTTCGGCAATCAGAATACGAAATTTAATTACTATATTTTTGATTCTTTGAACTTATATTCTGTCTTGTACATAACAATGAACACTTCTATAAAAACCCGTCCACAAACTACTGTACAAAATCAGTGATAACAATTTGAGACATTCCAGTCATATACCTTAAATTTGTACGTTTTTTAAATTCCGAAAATATTGTCAACAATTATCACTTTATATTTCCTAGAATGGAAAAATTAAAGCTGCCCTTTTCTGGTGACTGAGGCACTGGTAGACTTAAACTCTAAGAAAAAAAATACAAAGTGGACTACAAAAGTCACACGATTGAATGGAGATATAAATATTTCATTCATTTCATTTCAATTCATATCAACAAATTTTATTGCAACTTTCAAATTTGTATAAATAAGAGGTCTAAGTTATTTCTTACGCAATTTAAGGAAAAAATAATAGTTTATTCTTTGTTCATCTTTGTTAATGCGTTTTCTTGAAATTTGGAGGAAAATAATGGACTTGAAGCCAAAAACAGAAAACCAAAATATTTATATAAAATTTACGAAAAAAAAACCAATTTTCAAAAAAAAAATAGAGAACAATAGGGGATGGTTTGATTATGTGTTGTTGCCGACTTGTTTAAAACATATCCATAATAAATACTCTAGAAATATTAGAAGTATAAACGATGAACATAATAGGACATTATCAACCTGTGAATATTAAAAACACGAGTAAATATCCAGGTTTTATTAGTAGTCTAGAAATCCTCGATGAGCAAAACAAAAGCCGCAAACACTGAAGGAAGCCACAGAAAATACTGGGAATCAGCTGGGCTGATGATACCACGAATGTAAAAAAGAAAAAGGACTGTTGATACCATTTCTTCTAGACAATTATAAATCTAAGACATGTCAGTCTTATTCCAGAGATGCAGAGACGTCAACTGCGATGTATACGCATGTCTGGTTGATTACGAGAGAGTGTTTGATGCAGCACGCCAAGATTCAGGTTTTGCTTTCTACAATATGCAAAGCATCTTCAGGTCTCGATACGAAGTTAATTAAACGCTGAAATAATAAAACCCATATTAGGGTGTTGTCTTATAAAGATAAACAAAGATAAATGATATAAATTACAGTAATTATGCCAATATTACATGTCTGTGGTTTTTCAAAATGAATAAACTATTTAAGCAGACAAGGTAAGACCCAAAAATTGGTATAAAAATAGTCTATTGAATTGTAATAAATTAGTAAATAAATAAAACATTGTTTTAAATGTTAGAAAGCTACAAGTCTGCAAAGAAAAATATTTGAAAAGCGAGGTCCAGGTAGAAGAACATCTTGGTTAAATAACCTCAGAATATGGTTCAGCTTTTCCGCGTTGTTGCAGAGAAGATAAAGATTGCCATGATGATCGCCAACATTCGTAATGGATAGGAACATCAAGAAAAAGAAGACATGTTATGAGAAGCCAAGGTTTTAAATTGCTTTAAATAATAATCTAAAAGAGAAGTAGAAAAAATGGTTTAAATGAAGCTCCGTTCACCTGTTTTAGGACAATGGCATCAATAATTAACTTGTTACCTTCTTTTTACATTAGAAGCCACTTAAAGAAAATAAAATCGATAAGTTTTTAGTTAATATTCATTAAAACTGCAATTTAACGTCAGTTTAATATTTTACACAATAAAACGATTTTTCAAAAAAAAAACTTGAAACGCCACTGCTTTGACGTGTCATATTTATCCTTTTTTCTGCGCTATAAATCACATAGAATTCTTTAGACACTCGATTTGAATAAATGATTTTATAGTAGAAAGTTTGTTTAGAAATATTTTAAACTCCACATTCTTATGTAACTTATGTTAGTATATAGTGCATTTCGACAGCAATCCTGAATAATGAATCACAAAAGCGGTTACATTTAGAATAGTCATCAATTAAGTCATACATTAATAAATACAATATTTATCACACTGTAGATAATTATCAACAAAAGAAAAGATGAAACATAAAATATATTGTCGTTAACACAAATCTTTGTCTAAATATTGCACATTGAAAGGTAAAAAGGTTAACAATAAAATTAGTAAGTTTGTTCAGAGATTATTCAAATTGTCACATGTTTGGTTATATAAAGAAATACGTATTAGAAACATTGTTGCCTGGTTATTTAAGATAGTTGATTAAACATTTTCAATTCTACTCAGTCACCAAAATAATTGTAATAAAATAAAAAAAATGTAGACATATTTCTCAGCGTAAAACATAAGTTTTCAAGTAATAAAAATATCCATCTATCAACAAAGTAAAATTTCTTGTGTCCAAAGAAAATAAATTAAACTTTTGGCACATATATCGCTGTAATTAACATGAGGACTCTTAACCGTCGGAGCAGCTTCCTGATCCCCGCTACGAAATGTCCGCCGAGGTATAAGAGATCCCCGAAACAATACGAATTGCACTGCTCTACAAACTTATAGCTAAGATCTATTTACAGAGTAGAGTTCCAAAGATGAGGTAAAAAGTTCAAAGTTGATCTGTTTAGCTCTAAAAAATTGCATTTTGAGGTTAGGTTATGTCTGAAAAGACACCAAAATTCAAAAGTACGTATACGAGAAGGAATCTGAAAGGACAGACTCCCTTAAAGCTATAAATAACTCAATTTAAAAAATAATTATTTATTCTACTATCACTAAATTTGCTAAAAACATTAGGATATATCGTTCCAAGATATGTATATCCAACTTAATGCTTGTTAAAATCTCGGTTTCAACGAAATACAAGATAACACTTGATAAGATAAAGAATTGAGGAGAACTTTTTCTGATGGAAACTTTTTTTTATATAAACTGCTTCACTACAATCTGACTTCGTGATAGGTTGAGACACTAACTAAACCTCAAGATTTGAAAAAACCACATTGTGGTGAAGCATGTTAAATACTCCTAGAAATAATCATATTAGCGAGAGAGGGGGAAAATAAAAAGACTTATTCTATTAGTTTGTTCCGTCGCAAAAAAAACTAATAATAATTCCGAATAATTAGGCCAGGGTAAAACTGCGCTAAGAAACAAACAATCTACAAGTCCCGCATTCTAGATTATAATAAATATAAATATAAGCAATGTATCAAAAATGCAATTTCAAGATCGTTGTGTTTATATGGATATCCCACTTTGAGACTCATTACGCCATCTGTTTAACATAACTTAAACAGTATTTGCACATAATTATTGTAAGTCTTTTGTTATTGGCACCAGATATTTAGCTACATAATGCACAGTTCTATTAAAAATTAAGTTAGTCGCTAGTGATGAGGTCCCGAAATTGGAGGGTCTGGCGAACACACTATATTGATATGTCTCGTATTACTACTGAGGTCGGTAGGACCTTCCATACTTAGATCCGTCGGTTTCTCATCGTAATCCACCGCAGGTCTTGATTGAGGCATCTCTTGTTCGGAGGTGTCCACGGGTTCTGACTTGATTATAGATCCAGGAAAGTCTTTCGTGGTGGTTAGTTGTGGAATCTGGGTGGCTTGAGGTGGTTTGGCGGTAGCGTTCGTTGGAGACATTTGTTGTCTAAGCAGGGATATGTTTTTGATGTTTTTCAGTTCGGTTGGGTTCCTAAGAAATCTGCAACAAAGAAAAGAGTATGCTTTTAGCGGCTTATAGTTCTAAGAAGTATTTCAAAGTAAGTACAACAAATTGGATCAAAAGTATCTGCGAGTTGTTAGTTACAGCTCTTATTCGCTGCCATGATTCCCTTAACCAACGCCGCCTTTTAAAAGAAAGTTGTATAATAAAACTACATACAGAGCCATAGACATTTGTCTCCAGGTGAGTATGCTAGTTAAATCTAAAGCAGGTTACTTAAATATGGTTAGATAATTCATAATTGTAGAGTATATAAATCGATGATTTAAGAAGGTGACAAAAAAAAAACCCAAAAGACAATGCTAAAAAAAAAAAAAATAAATAACTCTTGTAATAACAAACTTTACATAATAATACTACAACATTTGAATAAATGTTTGTCCATTTAAATCTACATACACACGAAATCTCTGCAACAAACAAAACAATCTATTTTGTAACATTTTCTGAAAAAGAATAAGAGCAAAGTGAAAAAATGAAGGAGAACCTTTATAGAAAAAAACATTTAAAATTTAATAAGTAAAAATAGAAAGACTACAATAAATCATGTTGAACTTAGTAGGTAATGACGAATATAGAGAGAAGGATGAATGAAATGGCGCATGGTATATTGTACCAGGAAAACCCCCAAGAATCAACAGTCAAACTTTATAAACTCTCCAAAGGACCAGTTTTTATAAACGACATATATATTACTTCGATGATTAAAAAAAACGTAATTCAAAATTTTAAGACAGAATAGAAAAAAAATCTATATATGAAAAATATCTGTCTCCGGAAACAAAACCACTCATTTCTATCTAAAAGTCTGTTTTTTTCCACACTACATGACATGTTTTCTTGTCTTGTCACCGCGGGGAAACAAATATGGGTCTAATTTCCTTCTATTGCCTCCGGGTGCTCTGTAGAGGGCTTCGGAGACGTCAACGAAAGCACCTCTACCCAAGTCTGTTTACTGGATATAGACATGTGAAGTTCTCTTCTGATGGGCTCGTCTTGAAAAAGACGAGCTATTTCTTACATGACTTATAACTAAGAAAGTCGAAATAAACATCAGGTTGGAGTCTTCGGTGGCTTGCCTTGACAAAGGCAAGATATTTCTTACACGACTAAATAGTCGAAATAAAACACCAAGTTGAATAAATACTCAGCCGCAGAGTATGGAAAGCTAAAAAGGAAGCAGAGCCCCGAGAGTACTAAGCCCTCGGAGAGCCCGTGAAGGACTGACTTGGTTGACCTGAAAATCGCCTATTTTTATACACGCTGAAGTAGCGATAATAGGGATTTCCAGGTCAGGGACCAATAGGAAAAATGAGGGGCGGGGCGATGCGTCTCGAGCGCGAACTAGTCGCGTCCGAGAACAGTCTTTATACTAAAGCAACTTTTCCACTTAATAGAGTGGAATTTCGACGTAGTGCCATCTATTTTGGATGACAGAACTAAATAGCAGTGTCTGCGTCGTAAGTATGCAGCGACCGTTAAAATCTTCCAGAAAGAAATGCTATAATTTGTTTTATATAGGTGTTTCTTCGCTATTTGGAAATTTTCTAGACAAAACAGTACCTGTCCAAATTATTTTTGTTAATTTTATTAATTTGACAGTATTTCTAAGACTCTATTATCTAGTATGTAGCTGCAGCTGTTTTTCTTTAATCTGATATGTTTAAATAATTTTGTTTTATTAAATAATCATATAAAAATAACAGTCCCCTATCCTTTACATACCCCAGAATACCAGTTCTTTTATGACTTAAGGTCAGGAATGTTCCCCTGGTCGTAAGCGAATGGATATTCAGTATGCTCTCCAATAGAGCAATAAGCATTAATGTAGAATACGTTTCTGTTAGAGGCATGGTTACGAGGGAGTGTACCACTCCTCTGGAACATAGTTCTAGATATCCTGGTTGACCAACTTAGCAGGAATGGTTTCTACACAATAGCCTATGCAGACGATATTGCTGTCCTGCAAAGCGGTAAGTTTGAGAACACACTATGCGAGAGATTACAAGTTGCTCTCCGACTAATAGAAACATGATGCAAAGAACACTCACTATTTATAAATCCTAATAAAACAAAGATGGTCCTCTTTACCAGGAAAAGAAGAATCACGGGCTTAATACCCAGAAGGGTTCTAAACTACAGTCTAAATTTTTTTGACGAGGTGAAGTACCTTGGTATTACCCTTGACAGGAAGTTAACATGGAACTCACACTTAGATGTAGAGCTAAAAGAGCATATATTGCCTATGAGCAGTGTCTGGGGCCTTTCGCTCAGGAATTTGTTTACGCAAGATAGATAGGAATTTATGACTGAATGTAAAGAAATAAGATAATAAATGAATACTTACTGGTAACAATGCCTTTCTCCCTGGACTTTCCTTAAAATATTGACTCTATAATAATATCTTAAAGCTCTAGACATCTTGTCGTAGTTCATTGAAAGGTGGTTCTTCTGGATTCCCCACAATTTTGCAAGTCCCGAAGGATCCACAATTTTAAAAACTCCCGTTTCTCGGTTCTTCCACGAGATATAACTCGTGTATCTTTGAGCTGGATCGTTTAATAGTTGTTGAAGGAAATCCCATAGAAGCCTTCCATCTGAAAAATAATAACAATATTAGAATTGTGTCACTTCAACCACAAAAAATTCTTGATTTGTAATAAGACATGTAAGAATTTTGTATCGGTGATCTAAAGAAATAAATAACTTACTTGTGTTTGGTTCAGAAGGATCATTAGGGAAGAATTCCCTTCCGGTGTTCTTGAAGGCTGCCGGACTGGAAACAGGTTCCTTTGGACTCCTAGGAGGAAAATATGGCATCTGCGTCATGAAAGAGTAAGCGTTAGGTGTATTGGGCGGGCTACCACTACCACTGTAACCCTTTTTATCTACAGCGTCTTCGTCGGAGTCTGAAGGATTCGAACCGCTTCCGTTGCTCCCGTTTACATTAAATATTGAGTGACTGAATACTTGGTTATCCGCGTGCTGAGGGCTACTGGCCTGACTATCTACCGAAGGGGCTGGACTAAGAGTTACCGAATTGCTTTGTGCCATGAGATGAGCAGCCAAAGCTGCGTGAGAGGAGTGCATTGATTCGTTGTTCTGTGATAACATGCTCCAGTTGGGCGTTGGAGGATGTGAATGAGGAGATAATGGATAAGGGTGTCTGGAGGTTGGTGTTACTGGACTGCTGGGGAGGATCCTTTGAAGATTGTTGGCTTCTCTAACTAATATTTGTAGCACGTTGTGTAAGACATCGCCGGATCCAGGTGCTCTTTCTGCTAGATCGGTCCTTGTTAGAAGGCACATAGCTTTACCATTCATTTGGAACATATCGTGATCTATAGGTTGGATGTCGAATTCTCTCTCGGCCCACTGTAGGAAAGTGGTGACGTCTTCTCTGTTCCACACTCTGGGATCTGACGGTAAAGACGATGGTAACTGACTTTTGTAGTCCAACAAGGGAGACGAAGGGGGATTTTGGTGTGAGATAGATGGGAAACCCAGTGGATATCTCCACAGAAGATCAGCATTGAAAGGCAACGGCAGTGGAAGACGCTCCATCGTCGTACTTGTCGGAATGGGGGGAAGGTGTCCAGGTACTAGCTTCATTGTTTGTTCTGAAATAAAAAACAGGACATCAGTACTTGATTCGTTATGCTTGAAAAATTATTTATAATTTCTTAAAAAAGAAGTTTTCCGGTAAGTTATTTTAATCCGTTATAAGTCACTTGTCACTTGAAAGCCATTATTAAGATGTTTACTTTTATGATTTACGTTACTACTAATAGATTAGATAATATGTAAAGGAAAGATAATAATATTATCGGTAATTTATTGGTTAAAAAATGGTTGCTTTTTAAAAGTATGAAAAAACAAAAAACCTAAAATAAATGTGCTAATATAGACATCTCCAGAAACCGTTTAAAATTTTAACGTGCATTTTAATGAGCAGTTCTCTGTTTCTACGAAAAAGTTGTTCTTTCAAAATGTTCTGCTTCAACACAAAACACGAAAAGTTCATCCGTGTTAACTAAATGATTGACACTGCAGCAAACCATTCTTCTTCTTCAGGCTTCCTCTTTTTCTAGCTTTTCCTCAAGTTTTTCGATGACTTCTGAAAATTCTTCACTATCTTTGATTTTTCTTATAGTGATTAGAATACTATTTATTAACCGAATTAACAATAACATCAATCAAAACGATAGACAAAAGATACAAAACCAGGGAACTGAGGATAAAAAAGGCTGATAAAATGACCCTAAAGATTTACAGGCCAATTTCTCTACTCCCTGGCTGAATGACGAAAGTCTATGCCACAAAAAAAATTCTCTACTCAACCAATTATACAAACTGTACACCGGAATAATAATTTTTCCCTGTTGCGTTCTGTTTTCGATGTCTCTTTTGGTATTGCGTTCTTTAAATATCTTCTTCTTCAGCCTTCATTTATCCATTGTTGGACATATGCCTCCTCCAATTGCTTCCATGCTTCCCTATCTTTTGCAATTCTCATCCACTTCTTTCCAGCTACAGCTGTTATATCGTCTATCCATCTCTTTTTGGGTCTTCTCACGTTTCTTTTTGTTTCTAGTGGTCTCCAGAATGTCACTGTATGAGACCATCTGTTGGTGTTTTGCCTTGCTACATGTGCTACCCATTGCCATCTCAATGTCGCTATTTTTCCCATGATGTCGGTTACTTTAGTTCTTCGACGTATTTCGGTGTTAGGAATTTTGTCTCTGAAGCTTATATTTAACATCCATAGCCCGTTGAGTTACTCATAATTGTTCTGCCATTTTTCTTGTTATTGCCATAGTTTCCAATCCACAAGTTGCAGCTGGTAGTATACAAGTGTCTTTGGTTTTTCGTTTTAAGTGTATTGAGATTTTTCTGTCTTTTAAAATGAAGCTCAACTTACCAAAAGCAGTCCTTATAATCTCAAATCAGTACATCTCAAGTAGTTTATATTTAGAAAAAAAAACAAAACCACCAATAAACAAATTGTATGAGTAAATTGAATAAGGAAAGCAGATGATAGAATATTAAAGACAGGTAAGAGAGAAGCTCTTTTTACAAAATTAATCTGGTTAGAGATTGACAAAGTATTCGAGAAAAATGAGCATTGTTTAAATAAATCTTGATTGAAAATAGTTTGTGAAGTATTCTCAAGGTCTCTGAATTCTTTCTGAATATTTACAATGAAATACTGCGAAAAATATGTTTGGATATTTTTGTCAAAGTTTACAGCGATTCAAAATCGTCTGGTATTGATATGAGTCATGTTATAGAATTTTCAGCACATGTCTATTTTTTAAACTTAAGGCATTTTTAAAGCTTTTCATTTTCATATCGCTTTGGTCCATCCGAGTTCAAACAACATTTCCAGGAACATAATTCATTCTCGTTTTACCGGAAAAAACTATATGCAAACGAGTCTAAAACACTTACTTCACCTTGAAATAACATACTTCCGTGAGCGTCAAACCTACATAAACGCCAAGCCGGTGATTATCGTATTTTTTTTCTATAATTCGCACTGCATCATTGCCTCACTTCCTACTCGGTTCGCAAACGATTTCTTCATGTCATACTTATTTTAAATACATGTTTCGCCAGCTGTTGTTCGGCTATTGTCTACATACGCGGAACCTTTATACCAGGTGATGTATTTCAAATTAATGCTGTAATCACCGTACATTAGTCAGGACGAGCCTTGTTTAAATTTGATTTAGACGGGCGAGAAAATGTAAATGGTATTTTTATGACCTGTTACATATAGCAAGTTTGTATTTAAATTTTAACGTATTTTTTGTGCGATAAAACGATTTCAAATCTTCAATAAAATACATTTTTGAAGATTGTACATGATGTTCTTATACATGAACAACCCACTAATACTGTTCGGACTAGTTTCTAAATGTTAAACCATGACCGAAATTGGAGAATTAGCCAATCACAGACTTTTGAAACAACGGAAGCAATGAACTATTACAAAATTACCTAAAACACCACACTGTGGAAACTGTGGAAACACGTACGGACGCTTATTTTTCTTATCGCTACCTAAGAAACTTGGACCATTAAAAAGTCCGACGTATAATGGCCTTTGAAATGTGGGTATATCGTAGAATGATGCGCATACCCTGGACAGCACATCGCACAAATGTCTGCATTGACATAACTCGACATCAATACTAGGCTTACCACAATCATCCACCAAAATAGATTGAGATACTTTGGACACATTACCAGACGAATGGAAGGCATGCCACTCCGATGGTCAGACCAAGTAAAGTGCGCTACCGGTTACTCTCTATCTGAAGCAGCACACCGCGCTCAGGGGAGAGAAGGATGGATAAAGTAGGAGGAAGATATAATTTATTGCCTCTCTAAGAAGGAATGCATATAACGCTATTTTGTACAAAAGGCTTGAGTTGTAGCTTTAAAGATAAAATATATCTCAATTTATTACGCCATGTTACATCCAACGTTCAGAATATCCCCAGAGCGACCACCTCTAGGTACAAGAATTTTGTCTTTGTCCCTACGAAGGCTATAGAAGTTAGCGAGCGCACTCACAATCCTCTACCGTTAAATCGAATTTATTTCTTCCCGCCGCGACGTCGTCGATAATTTCTTTACAGCAATGCGATACCATAAAGAGCTTCGACGCAGATTTCATCTTTCTGCCAACTACAGCACCACACAAATAGTAGGTGCGATTTTCTTCTGAACCTATAATAATTTATGAGTTATGCCAATCGATTTTTTGTTATTATTTATAACCATATATTTCATTTCACTGTTTATTACTTTAATTAATTATCCAGCTATTTCTATTTCCTACAAAAATATAGATCAAAACCAAATACAAAAACAAACAAATCGAAGATTTTATTTTCAAAATAGGATATCTACTTTAGACACACTTTTAGCAGACAGTAATACAAGTGACGAAACTTTGTTAAATATAACAAGAGATAAACTGTGGAGAATTTTGCACAAATTAGATTCTTTTTTGCACAAAATGGATTCAAATTTCCAACAAATGATACATTTCCTGCTTTTTCATGCGCCGTTCCCTCTAAGAAGATTGGCATTTCAATGAAGCCACATCTAAACCACACACTCTTTCACCACGAGTTACATCTTTTCCATCGGCTTCACCTCTCATGACATATATTTCTTCCAGCACTTTCATCTCTTTTCACATTCTTTTCAACACCTCGACATTTCTAACACAATCCACCCAACTTCCTCTTAATATTCTTCTGTATGTCCATAATTCGAATGATTCCAGTTTCCCTGTAATACATTTCTTTAGAGTCTACGCTTCCATAACATAATATATAACAGAAAAAACATAGCATCTTGATAGCCTTATTTTCGTCTTATAAAACCTTTTTCTGATTGGTCCAATTCGATTGAACGAGAAACAAATGTGGCGTAATTTCGGCAGGGAAGCCGGCTTCATGAAAAATACAGCGTGACTACATCTATAATAGCAGAATGGGTCGTTTGTGTTGTGTTTTTCCGATAGAGTCCATCAGAAGGGAAAAAAAGGCATCTTTAAATATTTCACTGCCTTGTTTGTCTAGTTGAATTTCTCTTTTGGTGGACATAGGAAATACGATAGTTACGTGGGATATATTCTGATACATAGCTAGATGCTTTAAAAGTATTTTCGATTCCTTTTTAGCCAACGATGGATCACCTTTTTTGGAACACGTAACGATAAGTAATATGATAGTAATATTAGTTCCTATATGTCTATTATTATACAGTCACTAGGAGCTGAAGAAAACGGATTTCAAAGTTAAATGGTACTCCTTAATTGGTTTTCATCACATTTTGTTTATTTTTATAACTTTATTTATAATTTAGAATGTCCAGGAGAAGGGCTTGGCTGAATTAGCTGTTTCAAGTTTTGTATAAAAAAGTTTACATTTACATGATAATAACAAAGACAACAAATATACCAACAAACATACATTTGGGAAATATACCGGTAGAAAGGGTTGATAAATACAAATACATAGGAATCTGGATTTCAGACAATACTGATCAAACAACCGAAATAAGAGCCAGGATAGAAATAGTAAGAAATGCGTTTGTAAAAATGAAAATAATTCTCTGCAACAAAGACCTTAGATTAGAACTGAGACTAAGAGCACTGAGATGCTACGTGTTTTCGATATTGCAATATGGACTTGAAAGCTGGACATTGAAGCAAGAACACATAAATAAGTTACAGTCCTTTAAAATATGAAAAATATACAGGAGTAAGCTTAGAAGAGCATGAACAGAAGAAAATTAACACGGAAGTATTGCGAGAAATGGACAAAGAATGCGAAATAATAAACACAATAAAAATAAGAAAGTTACAATATCTAGGACACGTAATGAGGGGACAGCGATATGAACTGCTAAGACTGATAATACAGGGAAAGATAAGAGGAGGAAGGTGTATAGGAAGAAGGAGAGTGACATGGTTGAAGAATTTAAGGGACTGGTTTGAATGCAGTTATAAAGAACTCTTCAGAGCAGCAGTAGATAGAGTAAAGATAGTGATGATGATATCCAACCTCCGATTGGGAGACGGCACTTAAAGAATAAG